ACTCTTCAAACTACACACATTAGAAATACAAAGCATCTTGACAATAGCATCTTCACCGACTCACACAGCAGTGAACAGAGGGGTGAGGGGTACAGACATACAGGGGTCACATTCAGGGGCTACCTGTCCATGGGTCCTAAGGAGGCCAAGAGTTGGAGTGCAAGAGTGACAGAAACAGGCGACCAAGAGAAGAGAGCCCCTGCCTGTCACGGACCTTTCTGGGGGCCTGTGAAGAGTGGGTAGGCAACAGCTCAGCACAGCCTCCTCTCAGGATCCAGAGCGTCACAGGTGGGCAGGAGGGATTACCGGGGTGCAGGAGGCATGGCTTCCAGGCTCACTGCCCTGAACTAACTGCCTAAGACCACAACAACAGTTTCCTTGGACCTAAACTGGAATTACAGTCATTCCTCCACAGACTTAAACGTCACGAACTGTTCCCAGGATTAGCTGTCATCCAGTAGGCTAGGACACAGATCCGTTACATGTAACAAAGCATCCTGTGTCACCCACAGATTCCTACTTTCCCAAAGTAAGGAAATCTCCCGAAGGTTGAGACCAAGGCAAAAGGAGTATTTTTTTAAAAGATTTATTTATATATATTATATATATTGGAAAGGCAAATCAGATTCATGAAGAGAAGGAGAAACAGGAAGATCTTCCATCCCCTGGTTTGGTCCCCAAAATGGCAACAATGGTCAGAGCTGAGCCGATCCAAAGTCAGGAGCCAAGAGCTTTTTCTGGGTCTCCTAAACAGGTACAAGGTGCTAAGGCTTTGGAACATCCTCTAATGCCTTCCCAGGCCATAAGCAGGAAGCTGAATGGGAAGTGGAGCAGCCGGAAAATGAACCACCAACCACATAGAATCCCAGTGCTTGCAAGGTGAGGATTTGGCCATTCAGCTATGGCGCTAGGCCCAAAAGAGTATTCTTTGAAACAAAAATAAAAAACAAACCTGTTGGGCCCGGCGGCGTGGCCTAGCGGCTTAAGTCCTCGCCTTGAACACCCCAGGAACCCATATGGGCGTCGGTTCTAATCCTGGCAGCTGCACTTCCCATCCAGCTCCCTGCTTGTGGCCTGGGAAAGCAGTCAAGGATGGCCCAAAGCCTTGGGACCCTGCACCCGTGTGGGATACCCGGAAGAAGTTCCTGGATCCTGGCTTCGGATCAGCATAGTATCAGCCGTTGCGCTCACTTGGGGAGTCAATCATCGGACGGAGGATCTTCCTCTCTGTCTCTTCTCCTCTCTGTATATCTGACTTTCCAATAAATAAATAAATCTTTAAAAAAACAAAAACAAACAAACAAACAAACCTGTTGGCCTTTATTATGGGCAGCCTGCAGACTCCTGAGTTGGATACTGAAATCAAGTTTAAAAAATTTCAAGTTGGGCCCAGTGCTGTGGCCTAGCGGCTAAAGTCCTTGCCTTGAACACACCAGGATTCCATATGGGCACTGGTTCTAATCTCTGCAGCTCCACTTCCCATCCAGCTCCCTGCTTGTGGCCTGGGAAAGCATTTGAGGATGACCCAAAGCCTTGGAACCCTGCACCCATGTGGGGACCCGGAAGAGCTCCTGGCTCCTGGCTTCAGATCAGTGCAGCACCAGCTGTTGTGGCCACTTGAGGAGTAAATCATCGGACAGAGGATCTTCTCTGTATATCTGACTTTGCAATAAAAAATAAGTACATATTAAAAAAATTAAAAATTCAAGTTAATGTTAAGTTTGAATTACCACAGATAGAACAGCTACATATGCACAGCTACATGTCAGATGCTTATTCAGTACTTATTTTCTCCAGCAAGTCAGTGCTTTCCTATAGGCATAGGTTTATGATGGAAGTAAGCTCTGCCATGAATTTGTAGGAATTTAAGCTTCAACCAAAAAAATTTCTTACCTAAGTGGTAAGTAATTCTAAACTTAGGTTGAAGAAGGGTCCATAGGAGGGGCTATAATTGAGGAACTGACTCGTACAGCATTCTTTGTCAAAATGATCTCAGACTGTTAGACTACAACACCACCTATGCTTTGAATTTGGATTTTGCAACTTGAGTGTTAAACAAAAAAAATTAACACATTTAAAACCATATTACAGTCCTAGATTAGGTTCGGCAATGGCCTGGCTGAGCAGGGACAAAACTGCAGAAGAAAATGCAAGCCAGATCGCCCTTGTGGGGGGCAGGAATCCAATGACCTGAGCCATCGGCACTGCCCCACGGGTCGGCAGGAGCAGGAAGCCAGAGGCAGAGGCCAGGCCTGGCAGCAAAGCCTACAGACTGCAGTGCAGGACCCTCACGTGGGCCATGGCCTTCTCACCAGTGGCTTAACCGCCAGCAAAACACCCGCGTCTGGCCTTATATCTTAGTGATCTGTGCGTGTGCCCGCTTTTTTCTTGATTACAAGCTCCCTATGGGCACTTCTGCTTTTCTATCTAATTATATGCTCCCTGACACTGGATTTCATATTTGAATCTATTATGCAGGAAGTATTCTGCTGCGGATAGTAAGGAAAAAGCACTTGTAGAATGACCAAATTCATTGACATTCAAAAATCAACTTCATGTTCATCATTGGACAATAGACTGGTGCCTCTTTTTTATTCATTAAATTGTATCTCCAACATCTTGTAAAGATTTAAAAATGCTTAAAACAACCTTAAGTACTTTGCAAATGTTATTTTGTTTGGTCCGGCATGGTAGCCTAGTGGCTAAACTTCTCACCTTGCATGTGCTGGAATCCCATATGGGCGCCAGTTCTTATCCCGGATGCTCCACTTGCCTTCCAGCTCCCTGCTTGTGGCCTGGGAGAGCAGTCCAGGATGGCCCAAAGCCTTAGGACTCTGCACCTGTGTGGGAGACCCAGAAGAAGCTTCTAGCTCCTGGCTTCAGATTGGCTCAACTCGCACCGTTATGAGCACTTGGCAAATGAACCCACAGATAGAATATCTTTCTCTCTGTATTTCCCTCTCTGTAAATCTGACTTTCCAATTAAAAAAAAGAAGAAGAAGAAGAAAAAGCAAAACTATATACAAAAAAATGTTGTTTAATTCAAAATGTTGCTTTCCATGAAGATGGTCCAGGGGTCTGTGACTGTTGTTGAAGGACTATACTGTTGTAATAATATAGGGGGAAACAAGTGGGGGGACAAGGGGAATGGAAGGGGAAATACCTGAGCCTACTGAACTATATCACGGGGGGGGGGGGGGGGGGGGGGACAATGGTTCACGGGTTCAAGCTGCAGCACAGCATGGTAAGCTGCCACCTGCAGGTCCGGCATCCTATGAGAACTGCTTGGAGTGCCAGCTGCTCCACTTCCCATCCATCTCCCTGCTAAAGCATGTAGAAAAGCACAGGAAGGCGGTCCAAATTCCTGGGCTGCTGCCACCCACGTGGTGACCTTGGTGAGGCTCCTGGCTTAGCCAGTCACTGAAGCCATTTGGGGATTGAAGAAGCATCCAAAAATCTCGTCCCAACCCAACTTCCCACTTTCAAAGAAGTCAACACAACATTCTTTTAACTTCTAAATATGGCAACATATTATAATGTCTGCAAAAAAAAAAAGTTGTATATCACTTAATATAGCAACAAAATTTCAGCTTCCAAATTTGGACATTAAGGTATCACCAAATGAGCTGAATCTTGGCAAAGTCTGAAAACTTCAACCTGAATTAGTCAGCCAGCAGAGCAGAGCCTTCATACACGGAGCCCCAACCACTGTAAAAACCAGCTGGACTACTTCCCTCACCACTGCTACCCTTTCTGCACATACTTCAATCTGCCTTCCTGGATTTGTTTGTTTGTTTCTCATCCATTCATCAACACTCCACACACACACAGCCAGACATGTTGGAAATTCGTCCACATTAAAGAGGCAAACGGCTGAACACGGACACGAAAGTCCAGAGTGGAAGCCCTGTCCCTAGTTTCTTTGTTAGACTGGTTAGAGACATTTCCCAAGTCTGTTTCCACCTGGGTGATTCCTGAAATTCATTCTAGCTCAGGTTATCTCCTCTTCAAATGCTTTCCGCCTGAGCCGTCAGGCATCCATTCAGCTTTATTAATAGCACTCTAAGATAACCGAACACTGTAATTTCAATACTTCACTCTTGTAACAAATACCAAACGCCACCCTAAAAGGAAGCACTGTACTGGGTCCTAGAAATCAAAGTCTTTATAGAACTCTACCTAGTTCCATGTTAGAAATAAGACAACAAGTAAGGGAGTTAGAGATCAAAATGACAAAGCTGGGGACGCCTGCGGGACGCCTGAGGCATGCAGCAGGAATTCCCCGAGTGAGCGAGAATGCTGACAGGTGTCAACCCCAGAGATGTGAGAATTCCGCTGCGGGTTCAGGTGCAGGAGGCCAGCTGACCTGCCAGGGGCGCGCCTGGACCCGGCCCGACCGCGCCCGCAGGCCCAGGGGAGCGAGCACGGATGGCCGCGTGGCCCGTGGGGGTCGGGAGGGGAGCCACGCCCTCCCTCAGCGCCAAGGGACACCTCACCCACGCGGCACCTCCCAGACACCTCCCAGAACCAAAGGGCGGTGCGCCTGCATCCCTCAGCATCCTCTCCCCCCCCCACCGCAGGCTTCACCTTCCCCGCGGGGTCTCCCCGCATCCTCGGACCCGCGGGGGTCGGCAGTGACCCCCACCGCACCAGGACACCAGCTGAGGTTCCCCAAAATGCGGCGTTGGGAAGTGCGAAGTCACGTGCTGACTGGGGCGTAAAACATCCCAACCAGAAGCAAAACTACACCAGCCGCCACCGGGTCCAGAATCTCAACGAACGGCGCATGCGCCAGGGGTTAGCTGGGCCGCCCCAAGCGCAGAGAAACCGCGCCCTCTACCGGCGCTCCGCGGTGACGTTACGGTCTCGCCCCCTCGGTCTCGTTCAAACTCGCGAGAGTAAAAGCCCGTCTCTAGGGAGGCCTATGCGGAACGCAATTTCCTTGCCCTGTTGTTTCCCTACGGAAAGATTTTTTTCATTCACCGGAACCGACTGGTGTGAGAGCGGCACAGCGACCCACGAGATCCGTCTTCCCCCGAGCGGCACGCGGGGCAGAGCATCACAGGACCGGGAAGGAGGTGGGAACCTGTCGGCGCGGCGTGTTCGCGAACTCGCGTGCTGGGAGTGAGTGAGTGTTGCCGCTTGCCACCTGCCTGTGGCTGGACGACGAGGCCCCCCGGGTCCCCGCGGCTCCTCGGCAGCCGAGCTCGGGTGCGCCATGGCCGGGCGGTCCCGGCGGCGCGGTGCGGCCCGGTGGGCGGCCGTGCAGGGCAGGGCGGGTCGCAGCGCGGCGGACGAGCCGGAGGACGGCGGGGGGCTGCCGCCCTCGCCGGGGGACTCGAGCTACTACCAAGATGAGGTAGACGACTTCCACGAGGCACGGTCCCGGGCAGCCCTGGCCAAGGGCTGGAACGAAGCGGACAGCGGGGACGAGGAGAGCGAGGAGGAGGAGGTGCTGGCCCTGGATGTGGAGGACGATGAGGAAGGAGAGAGCTCGGGGGAGGAGGAGGAGGAGGAAGACGATGATGGTGGGAGCTCCGTGCAGAGCGAGGCCGAGGCCTCTGTGGACCCCACTCTGTCGTGGGGTCAGAGGAAGAAACTTTACTATGACACGGATTATGGTACCAAGGCCCGGGGCCGGCGGAGCCAGCAAGAGGTAGAGGAGGAAGAGAAGGAGGAGGAGGAGGAGGCGCAGGTGATTCAGCGGCGCCTCGCCCAAGCCCTGCAAGAGGATGACTTTGGGGTCTCCTGGGTGGAAGCCTTTGCAAAACCAGTACCCCAGAAAGAGGAGGCTGCCACGCGGGTCACGAAGGACCTGGCCAAGGTGTCCGTGAAGGAGAAGCTCAAGATGTTGCGCAAAGAGGCCCCCGAGCTCCTGGAGCTCATCGAGGACCTCAAAGTCAAGCTGACGGAGGTCAAGGACGAGCTGGAGCCGCTGCTGCAGCTGGTGGACCGAGGCACCATCCCGTCCGGGAAGGGAAGCCAGTACCTGCGGACCAAGTACAACCTCTACTTAAACTACTGCTCCAACATCAGCTTTTACTTGATCCTGAAAGCCAGGAGGGTCCCTGCGCACGGGCATCCCGTCATAGAAAGGCTAGCCACCTACCGCAACCTCATCAACCAGCTGGCGGCCGTGGATGAGAAGCTGTCCTCCGAAATCCGTTACCTCCTCTCTCTCAAGGACGGACAGAGCCCAAGGGCCAAGCGGCCCGAGGTTAAACCCAGGCCTGGCCCAGGGAGCTCGGCCGCCGCCCCCTCTGCCCCAGACCTTTCTGACGACTCGGAGCTTGATGAGGCTGCCCTGAACAAGTCCCAGGAGAAGGAAAACGGGCAACAGCTGAAGAGAAAGAAGGAAGACAGCGCCGAGGAAGCGGGCCCTGAGGATCACAACGCCAAGAGAGCCATTACCTACCAGATCGCCAAAAACAGAGGACTGACCCCCAGGAGGAAGAAGATCGACCGCAACCCGAGGGTGAAGCACCGGGAGAAGTTCCGCCGAGCCAAGATCCGGCGGCGAGGCCAGGTGCGCGAGGTGCGCAAGGAGGAGCAGCGCTACAGCGGGGAGCTCTCCGGCATCCGCGCGGGCGTGAAAAAGAGCATTAAGCTTAAATAAAGGCTCGCCTAGCTTCGTTGAGGTTTCTGGCAGTAACCTTAGAGCAATAAATTTTCATTTTTGTGACTGAAGCGGCTGGTTCTGTTCACCTACTCAATTTCAAGTTTTAAAAGTTTGTTGTCAACAGGGAGTTGGTTGCCTCGTGTTTTTTTTTCCTTTATGTAACGCCTGTGGGAGTGGGGTCAAGGCGCCGGGAAGAGATTGTGTTGAAAGTATTCCCCAATGTTTTGTCAACTATTAGCCCAAGAAAATGTTACAGCCGGTTGGGTAGTGTCAGTGGAAAGTAGACTTTTTTATTTTTATAACTTCCCATGATGAAAGCATACATGTGACAATCGAATTGCTTAAGATTGCCTATAAAGTAGTTTGACACGTATTTCATCTGCCTAGCTATATTACTTTGTGAAGTGGGCTTAATGGTAATATGGATTGTGTACATTCTGTACAGAAAATGTGTGCAAATGAGGAGGAACTTTGGTGGATAAAGGAAAAGATATGCCTTAAGTACTCCAATTATATTTTCTAATGACCCATGAGTTGAATAAGATAAAAGTCCATTTCTCCTAGTGATCCGTGGTGGTTGCTGTGTATACTCACTTCTGGTGAAAATTTGGTGCAATTACTACTAGGAAGTGACAACTGTAAGTGGTAGCAAAACGGGTAACGTTTTTAACTGCCTTGTCTTTTACAGAAGATTATTAAATAAATTTATAGGAAGAAGATGCTGAAATAACTAAAGGTGATGCAGGATGGGAGATCAGAGCAGCAGTGAAGGAAGGCACTGAAGCAGTCTCCCTGTGTCTCGGGGTTCATGCGCTCAGTGCGTGCTGACAGCTGGAGGGGTGCAGTTAGCAGCAGGTGCTGGTTGGGCGTCTTCTCATGAAACCCTTGGATCACCTGATGAGGTGGAGGTCTCCCGGGACCACAGATGACAGTGCTGACGTGGTGGGAGGTTAACTTTGTAAAGGATGCCACCTGCCTGGGAGCCCAACACAAACCAACTTCATTTAGCTCCTCTCTTCCAGCCCTAGCGTATAGCTGCTGCTTTCTGAATAGCACACATGCCAAATTTTCTTATCTTGTTTTTCTGTAGATATATGTGTGCTGGGGGAAAATATGCCTTCCAAGATACTCTGTGAGCACTGTATTTATACATATTTTCTTATTCCTCATAACCCTGTGTGGTAAATCATACTAGCCATATAGAAAAGTATAGACGTTGGAGTTAGAGGGTGATTTCTTTTTATGCGTATAAGGAGTAAGTGAATTGATGTATGTCAGGTACTTAGGTAATCACCCAGGCAGTGTTGGCTTACGTAGATGGTACCGTATTGTGAACCTGGCCTTGTCTGACATGAGTTACCACAACTTGCTAAATGTTTACATCCTCTACGACTTGTGATTATCTAACAAACACTATTTTAGCACTGGGGTGTGCTTGGCACAGTCCTCGTGCATCCATGGTAAACTGACGCAGCATAACCGTATTCACTCACGCGTGCGGTGGCTCTAGGGGCTTCAGAGAAAAGCCCTGACAGTTCATTACCGATATCAGGGATCAACTCAAAACAACCTGTTGTATGGCAGGTATGGAAAACCAAGGGTTAAGAATTAAGGTAGGGCCTGGCACGATGGCGCAGTGGTTAAGGTCCTCGCCTTGCTCACACGGGATCCCATATGGGCGCAGGTTCTAATCCCAGCAGCCCCGCTTCCCTTCCAGCTCCCTGCCTGTGGCCCGGGAAAGCAGTCAAGGACGGCCCAAAGCTGTGGGACCCTGCACCCATGTGGGAGACCCAGAAGAGGCTCCTGGCTTCAGATGGGCATAGCATCGGCCATGGCGCTCACTTGGGGAGTGAATCATAGGACGGAAGATCTTCCTCTCTGTCTCTCCTCTCTGTATATCCGCCTTTCCAATAAAAATTTAAAAAAAGAAAAAAAAGAATTAATGTAGTTTGGGCTAGCCAATGTCTCTAAGCCACAATTTCTCACTATAATCTCTATGGAGTTACATAAACATTCCCCTTTAGAAATGAATTTGATTTGCTTTCATACCTCTAAAAGCTAGCTACAGCCTGCCAAAAGCAAACTGGAAAGCTTTGTGATCGGGAGCCAGCACAGCAGAATAACACGCTATTCCTCAGGCTGCGGTGCTGGCATCTCGCTTGAGCTCTAGATCATGTCCCAGCTGTTCCACTTGCAGTCTGGCTCCCAGCTTATGGCCTGGAAAGCAATGGAAGATGGCCCAAATCCTTAGAACCCTGCACCCACGTGGGAGATTAGAAGGCTCCTGCCTTCAGATCAGCTCAGCTTCAGCCATTGTAGCCACTTGGAGAGTGAACCAGTGAATGGAAGATTTTCTCTGTAATTCTGCCTTTTCAATAAAAAAAATAAACCTTAAAACTAGCTGAGATAACATGAGTGATTCTATTTACATAGCTCACACAAAGGGAATACTTAATATTTCTGAAGAATTATAAGAATTACTTGTTTTTCCTTGCTATTTCTGTGAAAACAAATTACAATCATCTCAGATAACAAAGAGGTGCTTGCCATTTTCCTTGACTAAAATCACAATGAAAAACACTGAATAATAGATCATTCTCAAAAGTGTAGGATTAAATTAGAATTTCATGTGTTTAAGGTGGAAAGATGTTTCAAATAGGGCCTAGCACAGCAGCCTAGCGGCTAAAGTCCTTTCTTGCACATGCCGGGATCCCATATGGGTGTTGGTTCTAGTCCCAGCAGCTCCACTTCTCACCCTGCTCCATGTTTGTGGCCTGGGAAAGCAGTCAAGGACAGCCCAAAGCTTTGGGACCCTGCACCCTTGTGCAAAACCTGGAAGAAGCTCCTGGCTCCTGGCTTTGGATCACTGCAGCTCTGGCCATTGTGGTCACTTGGGGAGTGAACCATCAGACAGAAGATCTTCCTCTCTGTCTCTTTTCCTCTCTGTACTTCTACCTTTCCAAGAAAATAAGTCTTTAAAAAAATTTTTTAAATGTTAAAGATGTTTCAAATAATAAGTTAAATTGTATTGATTATGCATTCCTGTTTTAAATGCTTACATTTTTCCTTTGGAGTTCAAGAAAGCATAATAAAAACAACATTTTAAATTTTGTATAAGGTATAGTCTCATGTCAATATTCCTGATATAGTTTAAATTTTTTTAAATTTACTTGTTTTTATTTGAAAGGCATATTTACAGAGAAATAGAGAAAGAGTTTCTATCTGCCAGTTCAGTCCCAAAATGGCCGTCTGAAGCCAGGTGCTTCCTGGTCTCCCACATTGGTTATAGGTCCCAAGAACTGTCGTCCTCTGCTGCTTTTCCAGACCATAAGCAGGGAACTGGATCAGAAATGGAGGAACTGGGACTAGAACCGGTTCCCTTATGAGATGCCAGCACATGCAGGTAAAGGATTAGCCAATTAATTGAGTCACCACACCTGCCCCTGAACATGCACACTTTAACTGTGTTTCCCAAATATGTGTGTGTTCAAAAAGGCTTATTTATTTAATTGGAAGGCAGAGTTACAGAAAGAGATCTTCCAGCGACTGCTTCACTTCCCAGATGGCAATAACAGACACGGCTGGGCAGGGGGCTGACTGGAAGCAGGGGCCCAAGAAATTGGGCTATCCTCCACTGCTTTCCAGGCACAGGAGCAAGGAACCGTACTGGAAGTGGAGCAGCCCGAAGTCTTGGCTGATGCCTGTCTGGGCTGCCTGCACTGCAGGTGGGGGCAGGACGCTGGGCCACAGGCTGCTGGGGCTACCCGAGAAGCACATCAGAGGACCACTCCGGGGCCTCACTCCAGCTTCCTGCTAGCGCAGAGCCTGCTGGGAGGTCAGGGCAGGCACAAGGATGGCTCCTGCCATCCACACAAGAGGACTGCATTGCAGCTCCTTGCCTTGGTCCTGGCCCAGCACTAGCAGGCGGGAACATTTGAGGAGTGAACCACACGTGAGTGCTCTCTGTCTCCCTCACAAAAGAGGAAATACAGTGACCCTGAGTAATCAACATGTATTAAACTACAAAGAGCAAACAAAAAATGGGTAGGGGGAGTAAAATGTTCAAGGAAAATACTATGGGGTATCACGAGTTTGATCTTGATCTAGATTAAATAACCTCACTATACTATTTTCCTCACTTAGAATAATATATGACTGTTACAGCCCCTGAAATAACCTGTGTCAGGAAATTCCACAGAGTTAAAAGGTACGTTTATTTTAACAGAAAAAATTTGTAAAGATGTATTTATTTTTATCTGAAAGAGTTACAGCGAGAGAATGAGACAGTAGAATGTGTCCACTGTGTTACTCCCAAATAGCTGCCGTGACCAGAGCCAAGCTGATCGAAGCTGGGAGCCAGAAGCTACTTCTGGGTGTCCCACGTGAGCGCAGGTGCCCAAGGCCATCCTCCACTGCTTTCCCAGACCATAGCAGGGAGCTGATGGGAAGTGGAGTGTCCAGGGTTCAACCCAGCCCCCATAAAGGATGCTGGTGCCACAGGTAGAGGATTAACATGCAATGCCACCACACCAGCAACACAAAAATTTCTCGATATTTTGTTTCGGTTTTAGTTATTTTTTCTTTTTTTTTTTTTTTTCATTATTTTTTATAACATTTAAAGTGACCAGACTTCACATAATTCAGATAATTTTCAAACCCATGCAAATGTGGGGTCTTCAAAAAGTTTGCCGGTCTAGCACGGTAGTAGCCTAGCAGCTAAAGTCCTCACTTTGCTTTCACAGGGATTCCATGTGGGCACTGGTTCGTATCCCAATCCTGCACCCACATGGGAGACCTGGAAGAAGCTCATGGCTCCCAGCGCTTCGGATTGGCTCAGCTCTGGCCGTTGCGGCTGCTCAGGAAGTGAACCAATGAAAATAAATAAATCTTTAAAAAAATACATTCTGAAAAAGCTATCCATGGATTTTGCACCAAAATTAATTCCAGTTCCACGGACTTTGGATGGCCAGTAGCTCCTGGCAGGTGTTGAATATTTGATTACAATGACAACTACTTCATAGAAAGATATAAAGCTAATTTACTCCACCTGAAGGAGTGGATGTTCTCTGTTTCTATCGGAATGCCTAAGGATCCCTGGGCACATGTTCAAATGCAGATCTTTGTCCCGCCACCACAGAACCTGAATTGTCTGAGCTCGAGTAGGGCCCAGGAGAAGAGCTACTAACAAGGATAGCAATGAAAGTAATCAGCAGAGTAATATATTATGTAAAGTGACCAAGGAGCACTGTAAAACGGGGAAGTTAGCTCCAAGAATGTGTTGAAAGCAATGAGCGTTCCCCGAGAACTGTGGCGTTGGATCAGCCACTTTTACATATTTAAAGGGGTCTATCTCTCTAACCAGTTCAGCAAATAAAAATACTGAGCAGCTTAGCTCTGTTTCACTCATTAAACTCCGGAAACCAGGACTACTTTCATATTTATCATATTTAATGGAGACAGTGTCAGATGGTCAAGGTGGCATGTTTGTCAATGCCTTTTTGAGTTTTAATATACAATAAACAGCATAAGTCTTAAAAATCTGGTTCAGTCTTTAGCAAACTTACTTA